TGCTCTTGCTGCTGCTGCTGCTGCTGCTGCTGCTGCACTTGCTGCTGCTGCTGCTGCTGCTGCTTGATTGCTGCAGGCGATATATCTCCTTTGCTGCTGGAAGACTGGCCTCGGCAGATTCGGGTGTGTACGCAGCAGCAGCAGCAGCAGCAGCAGCAACAGCGGCTTCCCTTCGGCGTCTTCAAAGTGCCCACGGACTTCTTGCTGCTGCCAAACGCCTGCTGCTTAGAAGTGCACCGCGTGGACCCGCAGATCAACAAATTTGAAATACTCAAGGCGCTGGAGGTCAGCTAGGGTTTAGGGTTTAGGGTTTAGGGTTTAGGGTTTGCGCGTGATGCTTGCGTGGCGTCCGCTCCAGTGTTTGCCGTCAGAATTTGCTGCCTAAGATTGAGGGTCTACTGCCTTTCATTCAGGATTGCTGCTTGACAGCTAGACAGCTAGGGTTTAGGGTTTAGGGTTTAGGGTTTAGGGTTTAGGGTTGCTGCGCAGAAGCGGGGAGCCCTCTACGTGGCAATGGTCTCCAACGCGGGCCTCACTGCCCCTCGAACTGCTCATGTTTATTTTGCTTCTCAAGAAGCAGCAGACGAGGCCCTTGCGCAAGGAGCAGAGTTCACGTGAGGGTTTAGGGTTTAGGGTTTGGGGTTTGGGGTTTAGGGTTTAGGGTTTGGGGGGTGTTTTGGGTGCGTTTCTGCGTCCTTGGTGGCGCATGTGCCGTTTCCGCGCGTAGCAAGCCTGCACCGCCAGGGCCAGGGTTAAGGGTTTAGGGTTTAGGGTTTAGGGTTTGGGCGCAGGATCGTGCGTTTGAGCGCGGGAGAAACCCTCAGCGAGCTGCGGCTGCTGCTGCAGCAGCCAAAAGAAATTGGGCCTTTTGTGGCTGTGTCTTTAACCCCTCCAATTGCTGCTACTCTTCACAGACTCCACAAAGACACGGATGCTGCTTGGGAACTCATACGCACCCTCGGTCCGCTAGGGTTTAGGGTTTAGGGTTTAGGGTTTGGGGTTTAGGTTTGGGGTTTAGGTTTGGGGTCTAGGGTTTGGGGTTTGGGGTTTTGGGTTTAGGTTTAGGGTTTGGGGTTTGGGGTCTAGGGTTTGGAGTCTAGGGTTTGGGGTTTAGGGTTTACGAGGCTGCGGCCGTATGGCCTTGGGCTGCTCTTGCCGCTGTCGCTGCTGCTGCTGTTTGCTGCTGCATTCACTTGCTGCTGCTGCATTCATTTGCTGCTGCTGCTGCTGCTGCATTCATTTGCTGCTGCTGCTGCTGCTGCTGCTGCAGACGCGCAGCTGGACGTGTGTCCTGCTGATGCTGCTCATCCGCTTGAGGACATTTTGGACGGCATTGAAGACCCTTGGCTGTCCGTACACCTCAAACCCTAAACCCTAAACCCTAATCCTGAAACCTAGTAAACCCTCAGCCCTTGTTTGGGTCCTGTGTCTTGAGGAACAGCAGCGGAGCTCTCGGGTTGCGGCATTTACTGAGGGTTTAGTGAATGGTTAGCGGTTAGGGTTTAGGGTTTAGGGTTTAGGGTTTGGGGTTGGTGGCTTGCAGGAGGCTTGACTTGATGCTGACGTATCTGCGCCAGGTTCACTGCATCTGTTACTACAGTGGAAAGGTGTTTTGCAAACCCTAAACCCTAAACCCTAGTTCGTAGCTCGCGCCGCTGCCGGGGGTTTAGGGTTTAGGGTTTAGGGTTTAGGGTTTGTGCTGCAGGTCTACGACGACCCGCAGCAGCTGCACCTGAACGCCACCGCTGGGCACTTGCGGCCTTCCTGCCCTCCGCAGCTGCAGCACTACCTGCAGCAGCAGCAGCAGCAGCAGCAGGAGGAAGAGCAGCAGGAGCAGCAGGAGGAGCAGCAGCAGCAGCAGGAGGAAGACATGCCGACGGACGGCGCGGCGAGCTCCCCCACCGGCAGCAGCAGCAGCAGCAGCAGCAGCAGCAAGGGGGTCTCGCAGCAGCAGCAGCAATGGGCGCAGCAGCTAGACCAGCGGCTGCAAGTGCTGCTGCACATGGCAGCAAATATGAGACAGAATTTGCCTCCCCCTTTAGACGAGCAGGAGAGTCCCATTATCCGGAGCAAGTGGCTGGCATTTTGCGAAGAAGTAAACCCTAAACCCTAAACCCTAAGAGCTAAACCCTAAACCCTTTTTGGGGGTTTGCACGCCCAGCGAGCAGCAGAGCTGCGCGGTGAAAGCCGCAGGGACTCGCGCTGCCCCCAGCGGCTCGATGACTCGGCGTCGACGGTTTAGGGTTTAGGGTTTAGGGTTTAGGGTTTAGGGTTTGCGCGCAGCACACTTCCAAGGACGCCGAGGGCCGCTACCGCTGCACTCTTTGCCAGAAGCTTTTTAAAGGCCCTTCTTTTGTGCATCTTCATCACAGGAAAAAACACGAACGCGAGCTCACCAAAATCATCAACAAAGTAGGGTTTAGGGTTTAGGGTTGAGGGTTGAGGGTTTAGGGTTTGGGTTGCACTAGGAGTGCGCGGCAGCCACGCGTGCAGACCACAGCAGCGGAAGTGACAGTGGTGTGGGTAGTGGTAGGGTTTAGGGTTGAGGGTTTAGGGTTTAGGGTTTGCTGCGCAGTACGTGCCGCACCTA